AAAAGTATAATTAATTTTAATAAAATATATTTAATATTTAAATTAAATAATTTATAAAAGATAATAATTAATAATAAAATTAATATTATATTTATTTATAAATTATAATATTTTTTTTAATTTTTTTAAAATAAATATAGTTAATTATAATTTTCAGAATTATATATAAAATTATAAAATTTTGTATAATATTTTAAAATTATGTTAAAAATAAATAAAATGTTAAAACTTATTTATTATACTAAATTTTAGAATTATAAAATGAATTTTATTATTTAAATTAAATTTATTAAATATAGAAAATTGAAAATTGTAATATAATAATAAATATATATTAAGTACACTAATTTTAACGGTTACATCATTAAAATGAAAATAACTTAAAAAAAGACACAATTTAAACAAACTTCAAACATAATAGATAAATAACATGAAACCTAAATCATATAACATTAGTTGTCTAACTTCATTGCTTGGTCAAGGTATTTTTCAATCGCTTCCATCCCATGCAATAATCCAATATACGTCGTGGTAGCATACAATTCAAGAAAAAATAAATATTCACATGTATATGTAAATATTGGAAAAAAATGCAAATATCTACTTAACATATATCCGCACAAATATAAAGACAAATATGAAAATTCTTAATAGTACTTGTTGGATGACATTACTAATTAAACTATTAATAGTTCAACTAATATTTATAGATTTTACGATGCAATTAACTTTTAATATTCAATTCCTGTAAAAAAAAAATTAAAATTTCAACATTTTTAATCTATTTTATTAAAAAATAATTTTCATCGAGTAAGTGGAAAATACCAAGCACATTGACCTTCTTTGTTATGATAAAGTTGCCCATTCTATCTTTTCTATGTCTAATACCCTTTTCTCTGTTGAGGACAAATGGTGGGCAACGAATGAGGAAGGATGAAGGGGTGCTTGTGCTTCTGTAATTGCGAGGAAGGTGTGTGAAAAGTAAGGCCCAACATTAATTGGTCATGCAGATATTTTGGGCCCTTAACAGTAGACACTTTTGGGCTGAGCCCAGGAGAAACTTATACCAACACAATCCAACGGCTAGCTCAAGTTAAACATTTGTGATTAAAAAAGCGGTTACGTCTATTTATGGTTATGAAACTTACTGTAATATGGATTAACGACCTTCCATTTCTCTCTTCATTCCAATTTTCTTTCATCTTTTTCACCCAACACTTTGCTCCTCCAAACTCAGGTCAGTTTCTAGGTTTCACTTCTTTATTTGTATTTTCTTTTTAAAGTGTTTCGTTAACATGTTCAAACGGTTAGCCCATGTTATTGCATTGTAAGCATTGTTTAATGTTCAATATATGGTTCAGTGTCATGTAAAATGTAATGTAATCAATCAATTTTAATTGAAAAAGGAAACCTCTTATTTTTTGTTTCTATTAAGAGGGTAGGGTACCATGTCATTTATCTAACAGATAAATTCGATATAGGAAACAATAGAAAATGAGGTTGGCACTGTGTTAAGGCTGAATCAATCAAAACTGAATGGGAATTGGATTTGATATTGTATTAGCTTCTATTGACGAATTGTATGTAGCATTGATGATATCGTAATGCTTTTTGATAAACATAGGGATTGTGTTCATTTGACTCCTATGATTGATCATATGTAGTTTTCTAGTACTCTCGAATGATCAAAACTGAGTAATATGTTCCTCAAGTTCAAATTATGTTTTATAACCCCCAATATTTTACGTTAACGTGATCTAAAGGAAAAAATAACCTACGTCAACTGAAATATCAACTTGTGTTCCTACTCCAAATTCTCTTTATCTGCAAAGTGGAATGTTTTTCCGTTGTCTCGGTACTTTCTTTATTGTCATGTATCTTTTCTTGTTTTTTTCGGTATTCAGTGCTGCTGCAAATAGGTTTTTTGAATGTCATATGAGTAAAATACCAACCAATGGATGTTTATGAAGAAGTGGAAAAAGCTAAAGCTGAAATTGAGAAACTCAGGGCAGAATTAAGAGACAAGACAAATTCAATTCAGAACTTGAAGAAATCCTATAATGCACAGGCCAATAAGATACAGAAAGCTATTTTGAAAGTTGAGAAGCTGAATCAAGAATTTCTTCAAAAGGCAGATGAAATCAATGATGCTGAGCAGATAAATGAAGATAAAGAGTCCATCATCAAACATCTCAGTGCTGCAAATGATGAACTTGGTGCAGTTGGTGATGAGAAGTTTAGAAAATGGGAAGATGAAAAAAGAGGGTTTGTATTGGCATTGGAGGAGGCAAATGAGAAAGTGCTGGACCAAGAACAGCAGATGCATGAGTACAGACAAGAGATCGAAAGCCTGAAAGGTTCCCTTTCAGTTTCAAACAAGTGTATGGAAAAAGTGAAAAAAGTTGAAGCATCAAAAGAACTAGGAGAAACATATGACATGTTCCAGAAGTTAGAGGAGGAAAACATGAAGGTGGAAGAACAATTAAAATGGAAGAAGGGACAGATTAAACATCTGGAAGAGGCGCATGGAAAACTTTTAGACCTGTTTAAGGCAAGTAAGGAGGAGTGGGAGTTGGAAAAATCTTCATTGCTTGATGAGATTTCCTCACTGCAGTCCTTGTTAGACTATTATATAAGAAAATCACATGATCTGCGACACCAGTTACAGATCTGCAACCAAGCCCTTGCTAATGAAGAAAGCCTGAGAAAGCGTCTGGAAGACCAAGTCTCAAATTTGAACAAAGAGAAGGAAGAAAAGTGTTTTCAACTCATGAAGCAGTTGGAGTTGAAAGATGCTGTTTTGATCGGTGCCCAGAAAGATATTAATGAAGAGGGTGAAAAGGCAGCATGTTTGATGAGGCAGGTTGAGTCCATAATCGCCAATAAACTGCAGCATTCGCCACACAATGAACATGATAGGCACAAGGAAATGCTAGAAGAGTCAACTAAATGTCAACTCCTCAAAGAGAAGGATTTACATATGGAAGGTTTAAAAGAACAACTTAAGGAAGTTTATGATGCTTTAGACAGGGCAAACATTGAATTGGATGAGAGAATATGTGAAAGAAGTGAAATGGAGCTTGAATTGCGAATATGGAAGTCATTTGTTGAACGTTTGAGGAGTGATCTTGAAGAAAATCTTGCCATGCGTAAAGAACTGGAAAATTCACTACTTGCACAAGTAGATTTTAGTGAAAGCCTCAAGCAAGAGAAAGATAGCTTGGTTTATAAGCTGGAAGATAAAGAGAATATAATACATTGTCTGCAGCAACATGTTTTCCTATTTGAACAAGAACCAAAAATAAAGGAAACCGAAGCTTCTGTTCCAGCAAGTGGGGAAACAGCTAAGTCCTCTGAAAGTGCTGAAATGAGATATCTCCGGATAATTGAGGAGAAGGAAAAGATTTTAGAAGAGTTTCAAAGAGAGATTTTTAGGCTTGAACAAGAATCATTTAAAAGAGAATTTGGAAGTGCTATGATTGAAAAAAGCAATATGGAAAGAACCAATGATCTTGAGAAAGAGGAGAAAGAGAATTCTATCCAGAATATGAAGGGAAAGAATATGAGAACAGATGAACTCATGCAGCAGGTGACTTCAATTGAACAGAAGTTCACTGGCTTCTTGACCTCCATTTCTTCACAGCTTGCTGAGAAACAGGCTGAAATTATTCATGTCAAAGAAGCTTGTGATAAGATCACAGCAGCTGAGATTCTAGCTGCACTTGAAATTGAAGAGAAAAAGTTGATGATAGTGGAACTTGAGGATGATATTCATGACATGGAGCAGAATTTAAATTTTCAGGAGGAAAATTGGAGGCAAACAGAGCAGCTTGCATTGGATGTTGAAGAGGAAATGGATGCAAAACAATTAAAAGTAAAGGAGGTGATTGATCAAATGGAGAACAAGTTAAGAGGCTCAGAAGTTTTTCTTCAAAATCTCAAGACACAGAATAGAAGTTTGCTCGAAAATGCTACAAGATTGTCATCAGAAAGGCAGAACTTGTTAGGTTCTGTTCTAGGATTGGGCGATAAAATGTGTGAGTGCACTACTGCAGACACTCAACTAATGGATAGGTTGAAAAGCATAGTGCAGTGTTTTGAGAATGATTGTCTAGAAACGAATTTTAACGAGGATGATGATTTGCTTGTAAAAAATAATATGATAATGCATTCTCCCACAGGGATAAAGAAACATGAAACCTTTTCTGATATAAGGTCTCCATTTAAGGAGCTCAACAGTTAGTTGCAATAGGAAAAGATTTGATAGAGGAATGAGATGTGCATCTCTTAGATTTTTAGCAAAAATGTCTTTCAGCTTGAAGCACGAAAATTTCTAGATTATATATGAATTTCATTTGTTTTACCTTGTATTCTTTTAGTTGGGTTTCAATGCACTGGTTCCATAAATTACACCTAGTTATTTTCTATAAGCCAATATTTATCCTCATGAGTGATCTTCCATAAGCTTACAATGTATATTTTCACCGGCTTTTAAACCTTCTGCTTTCTCATAAAATTTCACAGTATGCAAAATATTTTTGTAATTTTTAACTTCAAATCAATGTTTTAAACTCTCCGCTAAGAAGTTCATTATAATTTCAAAACTTACAAAATCCATTTTTATACTTCCTGTTGAAAGAAAATTCTTATTCTTATTTAAGTGTTTTTAAAAAAGTTTCATGTAACATTAATTATTATGTTGTAGTTATGTCCTTGTTTGAATTAGTTATTTTTAAATTTTATTCACTTATTATAAATGAATGAGAAATGGTAATTAGTTATATTAAGAAAATAAAATTGTGCATTTTTTTTATTCGGTCACAGATATTCCAGTTCATTAGAATAGAAACTAATATCGTTTGCAATATTTATGATTATCACTAGTTCGAGAGATTTATACACATAGAAGAGATCAAATATAAAATGTTTCTTATTGTATCATGTGAGTAACATAGTCTCAATTGTACTACACTATTAAATTGAATCTTTTAATAATAGAGAATCAAATTAAATAAATTCAAGAACTAAAAGATTAATTTAATCTATTAATAAAAATAAAAGTTATGATTTTAACAAAATAAATACTTTTAGTACTGTTTTAATTAAAATTAAAATTAAAATTTAACAATCTATACTAAATTTTAACATAAATCTTTGTTACATGAAACACCAATTAGAGAAAAGATAAATTATATTTGAATGGAAATAAGATTGAACATATTTTTGACTTGGTCATGATTAGAAATACATGATGTGAGCTTCACTTGTTTACCTGATATAAATTGTTTTTAAAGATATGAACTGATTATAAAACTTTGTTTTAACCTACACACGTTTTAGAATCTAATCTAATTTGTAATAATTTTGTACCTTCGGAAAAATGGGTATCCACCAATGTGGTCCTCTAAAAAGACAATTACTTCCTCTATTGTTCTCTCGATCCTTCCTATCAGCATGTAATATCTACAAATACAAATTTTGGCACTAAGTTAAAGATAGTTGGATGATTCATGATAATGTAAAATGAGATGAGAAAAAAATACCTAACGAACGGATTAGAAGGCTTAACTAAGATACATTACTATGCATTTATTAATGTATTAAATGTTAAGGAATCGTTACTGTTTATTTATTAATTAATTATTAAATGTATTTTAAGGTCTTTTAATGATAATGATGAATAGTAACAACGTTTACAAAGTTCTCTCTATAGCAAAATATTTGTGGGAATAAAATTTGATCGAATATTTAAACATTACTTGACTGACTGTTGTAGGACACTTGGTAATTTAATTTTAATAGGATGATAATTTGAATGAAAATGTGTTAAATTTTATAAGAATAAATATGACTTATTTATAATATCACTTATTTATATCATATAAACATATTTTTAAGATATTTCAGATAATAAATTTGTTTGATTAAACATAAAAAGAAATGTTTTTAAATAAATATTTTTAAGAAAAATGATTCTTTAAAAAATAAATAGGAGTTATTGTTTTTTAAGAAACAAACTGCTTATTTTTTTTTAAAATAATTAGATAAACACATTAATAAATTAAAAATTGCTTATTTTATTTTTAAAAATGCCTTTATAATAACTTTTTTTTTTTTAAAAGAAAAAACAAACCCAATAAGTTATTTAAAATTATATCGTATAATAAAATTTCTAATTAGGACATAAATTTATTTTTTAATAAACTTGTAAACTTTAAAATTTATTTAAATCAACATGCTTTTCATTTAAAAAGATTTAAATAAATATATAATTTTAATATATTATGAATAAATATTTATCCTAGAGCATTACCTATTTTGAATTTCATCCTATTGTTAATTTTATCCGAATAAGGTAGCCAAAAAAATGTGCAGTGGTGTGCGGATGCAGCGCATAGGACACGTGGAAATGAAAACCGTGGCTGACATGACAACATCCCAATTTCTGGTGCACATATGCGAAGGCGACCCATTCACACAAATCAAACTTCAATGTTCTTTTTTTCTTTTAAATAAAAACAAAAAAAAAAAAAAATGAGCGTGTTTCTATGTTCTGTTCCTTTGCCTTGCGCCTCGTAAGAGCGGTCTGACAAAAAACCATTGGTGACGGAGGCTTTGAGAGAAAGAAGCTTCTCCTTCTGAGGTAGGCAACCCATTTTCTAAATTTCATTTCAAGTTTTTTATTATTATTTTTTTTTTATTTTTATGCGTATATCTTAATTTCCCAATTTGCACTGTTTTATTTGTTTAATCACCACCCCTCCCAAGTCTCAATTATTGTTTCTCAAAATTTTGATGCGAGCACCAAATTCAGGCTATTTTTATGAAAGGGTTTTTTTGGGGGTTAATTTTAGTTTTATGGTGATGAAACAGTTCTAGTTGGAGGTTTAGGATTCAGAGATGACTTTAAATTTCAACGTGTTAGGGGTTTTAATGCTAGGTTAGATGATGGTGCAAGGGAAATGATTTAAGCTGTCCCAAACTTGTGCACTTAAACCTCCCCAGATGTTAGAGATGATTAGAGATGTTGGTCTCTATTCTATTTTTTGTGATGCCTTCCATGGAGAGCTAGTTTCAGCCATTCTGGAGCTTTGCTAGAATTCATTTTTAGAAGTAGGTACATAGTGGATATTCTTTACCTTTTGATGATCATACAACTAATACCAGTTTAACTGCAGGTAGCTCAGTTTAAAGATTATTAAAGTCTATCAGCATCACTTGATCGGCCCAAAAGGTGTTGAATTGTGTCAAAAGCCTGAAATACTATACTTTTACATTTTTCAGCTGCTAGTGAGACCTTCTTGGATATCCATTTCGATACAGTAATGGCTCTTCCTGGTTCCCTGCAGTTGTCCCATGGATTGGTACTTTGCAGGAACCTGGGCTGCAATAAAAATTCGGTACAGAAATTCTCTATAGTTCTGTATTTTTTGTGCAAAGTTTGTTAATTTTTCATTATTTCTCACTTTCATATCACTTAATGATTTACAGAGGGCAACAGGACGTAGCAAGTTGCATTTATTTAGTACAGGTCCTTCATGTCCGATTTCGGTATGTTCTTAAAATATAGTGATATTGTCTTCTTGCTTGCTGCTAACTCATTCTTTAATTGGTGTGCCAAAGTATTTTCATGGCAATGTTGTAAAACTTTAGCTGACACAGTTCTGTGTTTTTTTCTTTAAATTATAGACTTTTTGGTATTGTTGAGTTTTGGTTCTAAGCAATTTCTTGTCATTTATTATGCTTTTGTCTTTGGAAATCCTTTTTTAGTTTTGATCTATAATAAGAGAAAACAGTCAGAATAGTAAAATGAGAATGTTACAATGGATGTGTGGCCACACAAGATTGGATAGGATATAAATGATTGTATACAAGGAGATATCACTGTGACACCAATTGAGGATAAAATGACAGAAAAACATTTAGGTGATTTGGACACATAGAGAAGGTCACTAGAAGTACCATGGGGAAAGTAGATTACAATGATTTTAAGTCCTGTGAAAGGGGGAAATGTGGACCAAAAGGAACATTGAAGGAAGTTGTTGAGACTAAGAGGGATCTTATGGTGAACAATCTTTAAGCATTGGCCTTTAATCAAGCCCAATGAGGCTGTATCATCCATGTAGCCGACCTCACTTAGTGGCACAAGGTTTTTGTTGTTGTTGAGGATCTATAATACCCCTAACAGCAAGGTTTTTTGGTGTAGCCTAAAATCTTGGGTTTTCTTTTTACTTCAACAAATGACTTGAGTCTAGTTTGGATTAGCTTCTGGTTTTTGAGAGCTTTTCAATACTAAAGTCCTATTCTTAAGGCCTTTTTCAGGTAAAGAATATCAAGCTTTGTTAAGTTTGCAGGTGCTTATAAAGAAGTTAGATGAGAGAGCTTTTGAAAAAGTTGAGTTACACAAGTTAATTTCAACTTATATGAGAAATTTGATTCATTTTAATTTTTTTTCATCTCTTATAAATGTTGAGAAGCTTATCTAAACCGGCTCTTATTCATTAGCATTCTACCAGTTTCTTCAATATTGTCAGGCAATATTATTAAGGTGTTCCTCTTGTGCCTGGATTCATTGATGATTGAATGTTTACTTTGTAATACTAAGGATTACCTTATAACATCTTTTCAAAATTAAGAAATTGCAATCATTTTCTTTTTGTTAGAATATATTGTAAGCCAATCTTCTATTGCAGTTCATAAAACAGGAGTCCAGGTGTTTTCAACATCTTCGTCTTATAAACAGGCCAACACATACATTATCTTCCAAATCCCGCACTTTTAAGTGTCATTGTTTTTTAGTGCCAGGCCAACCCAATGAACTTCCTGCGGTTAAAGTGGTTGCTACAGTGTTGGCAAGGTAAATTTTGTGTTTTTACTGCCAATAAGTACAAATTTAAGCAATCTACATGTTTTTTGTTGGTTTATGTTAAAATTTTGGTGTTTTAGATATAGAAGGGGGAAGAGAGATAAAAGAGAATGAAATCATAATTGATATTAACTGAGATGTAATACAATGTATTGCTGTGTTTGATATGTTCATGATAAAACAAAGAGTACTAAACCTTATTTATGCTAATCATGATCCTAGCTAATTAAGGGAAAAAATCATGATAAGGAAATATGGTAATCAATCCTAAGAAATAATGAGGAAATATGGAAATTAATCTCAGATAATCTATGATATGATGAGATATTTTATTATTTTTGTATATTTCCATATATTCAAACACTCTCCCTCAAGCTAAAGCCTACTAATCTTTAAGCTTGTTACAAATAAACCCTTTAAATAAAAAGAAATCAGACAAATTAAGTAGTGATTCTGGAATGAAGGGACTGATAGATTCTTTGGAACTATCATGGGGCCAACTGATACTTCTGGTAAAGCCATAAGATCAGATTATTTTTTTCTAGGAAAGCCGCAGGGCTAAACTCGTATCTCTAGGAAAGCCACAAGAGTAGATTGATGTCTTTAGGAAGTTGTGTGGTTAGTTAGGCTCATATCTCTGGGAAAAACTGTGGGGCCAAACTGATGTCTCTAATATCACTTTTCACGTTTTAAACCCCAAAAGGTAAATGAGTAGGAAGGTCATTGGTCAATAAGAAGAGAGAGAAAACAAACCAAACTCTGATAAAGAATGTTGGGAAAGTCACAAATAGACAAACAAAGGTCTAAACTTGCTAGAATGATGACACGATGTTGAGGGATCACTGGATCAGTGACAGTGGGCAAAGACTAAAAAGATGTACAGTGTAGGAGATAAGAACTCAGACAAATTTGAAACACTAAAAAGATGTACAGCATAGACATACACAAGTGTTGAGGCATGTTGGAATGTCACATTGATTGAACAAATCAATGAAGGAAACAGCAAAAATACATTAAACAACTTAAAACTGCCAGAAGGAGGACATGACAGCCAGAAAACTGTTTGGAACAAGCCAAGGCTTAGATGGGGAAGGAACTGGCTGGAATGAAGAACACAACATTACTATTGACCGGAAGAGAGTTGAACTTGCCAAAAGGAACAACATAATGGAAGGGAGCAAAAATGTTGAAAGATGCTAGAGAGTTGACAGAACAGAACAGAAGAGACAATTAATTTAACAGAAAAATCATAAAATTAAAAGTACAACTACAAATTTTAGGGAGCTTGACAATGGAGTAATGATGGGAAAGGTTACAGAGAATGGTACCATTCTCTTAGCACGTTGAAATTATGGGATTTTAGACATAGAGGGAGGGAGAGAGATAAAATAGAATGGAATGTTAATTGATATTAACTAATATGCATTATATATTTTGGGGTATTTCCATATATTCTAAAGTGTACACTTATATGTTTTTATGCAGGTCTTGTAATGTGTTACAAAATAGTCCCATAGTAGTAAAGTTGATTCCTCCAGTTGGCATTATCATTTTTGCAATATGGGGTGTTGGTCCATTATTGTTTCAGACAAGGAAATTATTTTTTCAGGTTATATTATATTGTATTTGTAGTTATTCTATTTTTCATCCTTGTATTAACTGATTCAATGTAATTAATACCTAAGTCTGATATTGCAGAGGAGTGATAATAGTTGGAAGAAAAGTACCACTCACTATATAGTAACTTCTTACCTTCGGCCATTATTGTTATGGACTGGAGCAATACTTATTTGCAGGTTTCTCTGTTATGATAATAACTTTATCAGATTGTGAATACGTTATATCTTTATCAGATGTACCTATTCTTCCCATGCTGAATTGTTAATTAATTGCAGAGCATTGGAGCCATTAATTCTACCTTCAGAAAGTGGCCAGGTTGTTAAGGAACGGCTTTTGAATTTTGTAAGATCATTGTCAACAGTACTGGCCTTTGCCTATTGCCTGTCAAGGTGTGCCTATTTCCTTAACTTAAGCACCTAAGTTCTTTGGGCTTTTATTCATCTTTTAAGAGATAAATTGTCTGGTTTTCTTTTATTATGACAAATTGTAATACCTTACATATTTATTGTCACAGTTTTTTATTTGCTATTCTGCTTTATTGTTGGACAATCAACTATAATTATTTCCAAGATTATCATTGTTATAGCCAGCTTGAGTACTTCAGTCTTATTTGTGTTTCCAATTTATAATGCTTGCTAAGTTTTTCTTCTATTAACTAATAGTGCAATACTCTTGTGCAGTGTAATTCAACAAGCGCAGAAATTCTTAGCAGAGGGTACTGATGCAAGTGAGGCGAGAAATGTATGTATCTTTTCTTTTTGTATAGACAACTGGCATTAAAGTTGTATGAAGTTTAAACATGATAAATTTATATTATCAATTCCATTTATTTTATTTCTTGTGGACTGTCATAAATTAATTGCTATTATTATGACTCTAATGAAACTTGATTTCTCAATCAGTCAGCCAGTGACATTAGTTGGCCATTACAGCTGCCCAGCTATATAATTTTTCAGCTTGTGGATTTAACATTTCTCCCTGTCAATTTGTTTTACACATAGTAGAGATTATCAATCTGCTAAATTAACTTTTATCTACAGAAAAACATGTAGAACTGAGCACTTGAATATATGATGGCTGTATCTTTTCTAATTCTATGTACATGGGTTAAAAGAACTCATTATGGCTATGTATGTATTTAGATGATATATCATTTATGGAAGACTGGTAGCTTGGCAACGGCAATGCCAATTGAAGATAATAATTGTAAAAATCTGGATTTTGGTGTGATTCAATTTCGATGACTTAAGAAATTGTCTGTTTATGTTAGATGGGATTCCAATTTGCTGGCAAAGCTGTTTATTCAGCAGTATGGGTTGCTGCCTTTTCATTGTTCATGGAGTTGCTGGGCTTCTCTACCCAAAAATGGGTTACTGCAGGAGGTCTTGGGACAGTTTTGTTGACCCTCGCTGGCCGTGAGGTGTGGGACTTATCATTGCTTCTAACCATCCCAATTCTCTTGTATTTTAGTGGCCAGAATGATATTGTGGCACTTGTTGACGTTAAATTTTATCTGTTCAGATATTTACAAACTTCCTTTCAAGTGTGATGATTCATGCAACTCGACCTTTTGTGGTTAATGAATGGATCCAAACAAAGATTGAAGGATATGAGGTTTCTGGTACTGTTGAGGTGTGTTGAACTGCACCTTGTAACTTTTGAATGTGGGAATTACTTGCATTAAATATGTACTGTATTTTTTTTTTTATATGCAATAACTTAACAGAAGATAATTACAAAATATGATGTAGTGATTGAGACCCTTGATTCTTTTGGGCATTGATGTTTTCATGCTATGCAGCATGTTGGCTGGTGGTCACCGACAATTATTAGAGGTGAAGATCGTGAAGCTGTTCACATTCCAAACCACAAATTTACAGTGAATGTCGTGCGGAACCTTAGTCAAAAAACACATTGGCGAATCAAAACCCATTTAGCCATTAGTCATTTGGATGTAAATAAGATTAATGTAAGAAATAGTTTTCTTATTTATAGTTAATTGTTTTTCACCAATTTTGAGAATTTTATGATAATTTTCCCTGTGACATGACAAATGGTTTAATGCTTCTGCAGAACATTGTTGCTGACATGCGAAAAGTATTAGCCAAAAATCCTCAAGTTGAGCAGCAGAGGTTGCACAGGAGAGTGTTTTTGGACAACATAAATCCTGAAAATCAAGCTCTTTTGGTTAGTATGTAGTTAATCTTGCAAATCAATGATTGTATGCTAATTTACAGGGATCTTAAATACAATTTTCTTCTTTATTCCTCTTTTCTATAAATAGTTAGCTACAGTATATCACTGTGTCATAAACAATTTATTTAGGAAAAAATCATTCTGTACTTTGTTTCTTGTAGATCGACTTAACTTTCAGTTCCAGTAGGACAAAATCATGTGTATTCTGTGATCTAACTTCGAGTGCTTTATATAGTCACGACTCATGACTCATGCTTTAAGCCCGACCCCTGGACTACATTCATACATTGTGATTCAGTTATTTGAAAAATTACAAGAGAGCAGCAATCAGTTCCTCCTGTTATAATTTATATTTAGATCAATTTTAATTTACAGAGGTTTCATGGTAAATATCATGATTAAATACTTTGGCATGTTTTTGTTAAATCTGTATTCACTGTCCTATATAGGATAGATAAAACATTTTCATCCCTAAATCTTAAAATAGGTTAATGAATACTTAAACCAAATAAGTTGATAGTCTACATAGATCAGTGTCTAAACCTTATAAAAGTACTGTAAAGGACTCATGGTACACATATGAACAGTACACACCTGCTTTTGTCATGTGCATCGATCATGTTCAATTAGATTTCCATGCATGCATTTAACAGATTAGAACTTTCATCAATCATGATCAAACCAGACTATTGTCCATGTTTCATTTATATAATATCTAGTAGTATTATATATTTATTACATCTCTTTTCTATGATTTTCACAGATTCTAGTGTCTTGTTTTGTTAAGACCTCACATTTTGAAGAGTATCTGTGTGTTAAGGTAAGAAAACTTCCTTATTTATATATGCCACTTCATGTGATACTGCCCTCACACAATCATGACTCAATTTGCAAATGAGAATTAAGGATCTGTTTCTGTTGTATATGATTGATAGATGCCAATAATTAAATAAAACAAGAACTTCACTAGCAAATCTCTTTCAAAAGCATGAGAATTCCTGATAATGGATTTGAATAGAAACTCATGAATAATAGGTGTCAAGATCCATTCCACGTGCCACTATGTTCAGCATGCGATCAACTCTTCTCAATGTCAAGTTCAATCTTGTTAAGTCTATGTTTTTAGTTTGTAGTATTTCAGCAGCAGTAGATCAAATATTATGAGAGATGACTGATTTCAGTAGTCATTCTTTAGTAGTTTGTTGTGAACTGCAGTAGTCATATTGGTAGCTTGTGATTTTATAGAAAAAATGTTTATCCCTTCTCCCCTTTCAATGGTTACTGGAAAGATAGGCTAAAAATATCTAATGTATCTTGAACACCCAATGAAAACCTGTGCCAAATATTAAAATTCTATTGTTATGAACCTAGAAACTGAATGTGATTTTAGAGAGAGCTGAAAAAATTAAAATGGAAGAAACTTCCACGATGGTAAACCCTCTAAAACTGAGAAAAGGTGAGAGTACTCCTTCCATGGGTTTTCCCTTTTACAACAAGGCTAATGCTTGGTTCTCCAATGCTAGCAATTTAGAATGTATGTATGTACATTTTCCCTTTTACATAGTATTGGTGCATTTTCTATAAACAATTGTGCTGATGTATCTGATTGATCCCGGTTCTGGTTAGTAGTTCATATTGTTCTAGATACCCATCTGCTTGTGCATTTAACTGGGAGATAAATATCTCAAACTATTTCTTGCTCTATAGAATCTTTCTATTTAGTATAACTGTTCAAGGATTTAGCTGATTTTTCTTCCATTAAAATTTTTAAAAATAGGAAGCTATACTGTTGGATCTTCTTAGAGTTATCGGCCATCACCGAGCACGACTTGCAACACCAGTCCGTACCCTGCAGAAAGTATACAGTGATGCTGACTTGGACAACATACCATTTGCAGATTCCACATTTGGTCGTGGTGCTGGAACAGTACCTAACCGTCCATTATTAGTGATTGAACCGTCGTACAAGATCAATGGAGATGATAAGATGAAAAAATCGGCAAAAGCAGCTGTTGATCAAGATAACAAGACAGCTACACGAACCAAACCTGACACCAAGACAGACACCATGGTTAGAGGAACTCAAGATGACACTGAGGTGGATCCCAAAGTTGTGACATCTATCTCCGATGCAAATGGAAACTCTAAGACTGTTGTGACACCTAAACCTGATCTTGAAGTGGGTGAAAACAAGCCACTGAAATCAGATTCAAACAAGGAAAGCATGGAGGTGCTAGAATCTTCTTCTAAATCCAAACTAACTGGTTTGGTAGTAGATAATTCGGGCCAGAAGGACATAGATGCCAAACAATCCAAGGGTCAGACCACTAGAAACATAAAGCCAAATATTGACCCTGACAATGTAGTGTCCTCAACTACCAACGGTGACAAAACTGGTGGACTTAATATGAATGTGCCAACAAAACAGCAAGGGGAAAAGAAACCTGCTGCACAGCCTCATGCATCCAGGCCTGTTCTTGAAGAGAATATAGTACTTGGTGTTGCATTGGAGGGATCAAAGAGGACACTTCCCATTGATGAGGAGATTGACAATGTAACACCAAGAGAAGCAAAAGAAATGGCTGCATTCCAGGGTGGAAATGGATCTCCAAAGACTCCAGATGGAAGTGACAAGTAGTTGTTCTAATTCTTAGCAGTGAGTTAAACTAGTTCTTTGAAGTTTCAATTTTGCAAGTCTAGTGGTACACTGCTTTGAACCCACACCCTAGGAAGTTGTACATATTATCACTTCATGTGTCATACACCCCTTTTTCAAAGGACTCGAGCTGTATTGTCATATCATTTCATTATTTTTGCAATATATGGAAAAGGGTTTTCTTCAATGATTCGATTATTAGTTGTTTGTGTTCTCACCTTAATTATCCCATGTGTGTGTATATATATATATATATATATATGAGGAGGGTTATAATAACATTAATATAATTTTTACTAAGTATTACGTTGCTCAATAATTTTATATTAGATGTGAATTTTGTAAATTCAACTATTAGATTGAAAGTTCATATCATTTTATATTTATATAAAATTTTGTTAAGATTGAACAACTTGAAGATAATCAAAATATTCATATTTTAATATATTTTGAAATATATATATTACATCAATTTTATTTTTATAAAAATGAAGTATCAAATTATCTTGGATTAATATAAAATTTTATATATATACTATAAGAGTAAAGAATTTTCAATTTAACAGTTAGATTTACAAAATTCACATTTAATATAAAGTTGTTGAGTGGTGTAATATTTATTAAAAAATACACCGGTGTTATTATAACTCTCTTCTACATATATATATATATATATATATATATATATAGAGAGAGAGAGAGAGAGAGGAGCAATAATTTTATATTAAATGTAAATTTTATAAATTCAACCGTTAAATTGAAGTTCTTTACTCTTAGATCATATATACAAAATTTTATATACAAAATTTTATATTAATCCAAGATGATTTGATACCTTATTTTTATAAAACAAAATTGACGTAATATATTTATTTCAAAATATTTATATTACACGGCTTATATAGAGATAATTAATTACACATAATTACAAAGAATACACAGTTGTTCTAATAAGCATAATTACACAAAATAATTTGATTTTTTTTATACCATTAACGTAATTATGTTATTTTTTTATCACCATTACATTTGTTCATGTACGACTAAACTAAAATCATTTCAACAATGTTTTAAATTCAAATCTTTTAAATAATGTTTTAAGTTCGAAGCTTGTAAATGAAATAAAAAATCGACAATACTTTCACATTCCTTGAAAAAAAAAAGTATTTTTAACAATATCATTAAATGTAAAATTTAGTTTTAAAATAATGGAACGTATATTCATGTTAAGGTTCGTTAATAAAGTTAATCATAAATAATTACAAGAATATCCATTTCTCCTACATAATTACATAACGTAAAATCTGCTTTTGTTTATACTATTAATAATTACATTATTTTAAGCAACATTATTAAATTATTTTTGGCAATATTATTAAATGGAAGATTTGGTCATAGAAATTCAAATGATTAAGAGTGAAAACTAGATAAAAATTTGAGGGAGGGTTACTGCCTCAAGACTAAGTGGCGCAATATCATTTATGGTCTATAATATTAATAGCTATTTAAAGTTACTCGTGCTTTGTTTTTTAACTAATTGGCTGAATACCTTGGACAAATCGACTAATTAAAAAGTTGCTAAAAAAACTGTTATAGGAGTTGGCCAGTAGGAAAAAATTGAGATCCAAATTGAACACTTTAGATAAGGCTTCACATCAAATGCTCCCATCCACAAACAGTTGAAAATTGAACCACATAAACAAGTGGCACAATTTCACTCGCCACCAACGAAAAAGAAATCATTTCATCCATTTTGGAACGTCCAAATTCGTTGACCCGACAATAGCCATCACAGACAAGAAGAGTGATTAAGAAATCACGGTTCATGCAACATGAACATAGTAACACCACTCGTGAAAACTACGCTACAATCTAATTCATGATAAAATTATTAGATGATAAACAACAATATGGCTCCTGTCATTGAATTATATAAATAACATGGCTGGCTCCTGCTAAGAATGCCATCATCTGATAAATACATCTCCCACACAATACAAGTAACTCTCAAGCACTCTTATCAAGAACATCATAGCAAACCCCATAAGACTAGGAGAGTGGAAATGCTTTTTATTTTCATCAAATATGATGTTAAATAATAAGACACTGAACTATAAAATACACAAGCTACATCCGTGAATAATAATTTAAGTATACTACTAGTACTAGTACTAAGCTTGACACATGCAATCAGGAGCCGGATATGTATATATGGATTGTTTAGGCTTCCTCAGCCTTAGTTGCCCTTGTCTATTTTGGTGACCTTCAACCACTGCATCCTGAAAGTCTGACCACTCAATGGTTTTATTCAGGAATAGCTGACCCATCAATGCCATATTTGGCCTTATAGTCTTTAAGTTCAAGTAAGTCCGGTGTCCAACCTATCACCATCATAACATTAATTATTGTTAGCATTATTTCATGAAAATAAAATTATTGGGATGATTTTTATCTAAATTTTCAACACAAGAAGCTTTGTTAATGTAAAGAGTTGAACGGTTTCGACTACAGGTTTCTTCTTTGTTGACATGAGCCTGATGGCACCGGATAATTAATTCAACATTTATTTTGGGGTCAGATGAAATAAATGGAATGGATTAGTCCAAAGTCCTTCATAATTACTGCCTCCGTCTTATATATAAGAAATTTTCCACTTTTTTTTTACACCGTTCTAATTCTCAGTTGTATTAATTATTTTTTCTTGAAAATACTCTTATTTAATTAACAATTTTTTAAGACAAAAATAATAAATGCTTGAAATTTGTGAGATAAAAGCTATCTCTTGATAGGATTGGAGAAGATGAATGGATACATCATATCCAATTTTCTTAAAGAGTATATTGTTATTTAGTTGAAAGGGTCAAAGGACAGAGGTAGTATTGCAGTAGACTAATTAATTAGAGTTATCTAAGAAGTATCTAGCATAACTCACCAATGCATTGTGCATGTTTCCTGGGGAAGCAGAGATGAAGATGTCACTATGCAAGCCAACATAGTAATCAAGTGCAGCTAGTAGAGAAGCTTTTCCCTTTATCAGAGAACGCTCTTCAGATGAAGCAAGGCTCTTTTTATCTTCCATCAGAGGAAATAATTCCCTCAAAGTTGAAATCCTTGCTTCTCCACCATAGACCTGGAAAATACAACCAACTATACTTAAAAACGGGAAAAAATAATCATTTTCCTAATTTTAGAAAATGACAAACACTAATTGAGATGAATAAGTTTCTACTTGTCAAACCAAGCAACCTTGTGAGAGGCAAGATATAAACGAGTGCTATTGTCAAATCCCAGAGCTGCTAGCAACAATCCAACCTCTTCGGGAGTCATCGGGCATCGGCCTTGACTCCTCAACTCTTCATCAGTGAATTGGGAATTAAGAACCCTCCCCTGCCAAATTACTTGCCTATACTTTGCAAGGGCCCATTTTTCAGCTTTTCCACCTCCAAAATCACAGGCTGAATGGGCTGCCATATCCTGACATAAGAAAATACGCCTAAATTTAAAATTTACAGATAAATGCATGTAACAATAGAGTGACAATGTTCCACAAATAAAAGGATATGTGAAGATGTTAATTGATCCCACATTCATATCCTCTATCCTATATAATTCTGATTCACAAATGTACCAATTTACACGAGTAAATAGTCTATGCATTGACAATATAGAAGGTTTCTACCCTGCATTGAATCACAAACCACTATATATAATAAGTTTGCTAACTTTTGCAATAAACCTTAAAAGTCCTATCAATGATAATTTCTAATCGGTTAGTGGACCGATAGCGCATAGAAATTGATCGCTTTACTTGTGACATACATATAAGGTCTGCCTCATAAGTACTCAATATACAATTTGTTGCATTACCAAAATAAAAGGAACAAGAAAAAGACAAACAAATATACAACCCTGAATAGATGGCTAATTATCAATAAATGATACAAGAATGATACCTTATCAAATCGGAGGTGTAGAACAACAAATTTCCCTGCATTTTTACTATCAACTGCACTGGTGACCTCTTGAAGGTAGTTGGAGCCCATTTCTCTAGCTGAGCCTCGAGGATAGCGAAGGCGGCTGATAAGGGCATCCCCAAGTGTTCTGATATGAGGAACAAAAGTTAAAGCTTGGAAGTTGACTTTACAGCGTAGGTGTTGAATATCCATAGGCAAGTTGTCAAAACTCAGTCGGTGAGAAAATGGAGAGATTGCAGCAATACCATAACTGCACCAAATAAAACATAAAATGATATTAGAAGTTCATGACTCAGAATACCATTATGGTATCAGATCAGCACAATCATATCCTCATAAATATACAAAGTGCAGTAGTTGCAACTACAAGTTAAATTGTCCAGCATGATCATTGAATCAACAATTGTTATAATAACTGGACCTAGACTTTCAAGTCATGCAGTAGCATTTAAAGTAACAGATTCAGGTAGATACCAACCTCTGTAGGACAGGCAAAACATTCTCCAGATACCAGTGGGCTGATGCATGCACAGGTGCAGCCTTGATTCTGGTTTCACGGATAGCCATGGCATAGTACTCCCTTGTGCTCCAGGAGTATTCTTCAGGCAGCTCTTTAACTATAGAAATATCATCCTTCAATACATCAATGAAATGATCCACATCAAATATATCCAGGAAGGAGCTGCAGAGAAACACAAGCAACCTCAATATTACATTGCACACAATCCATCATGCACATAATTGCAATGATAGTTTCAGTAATTACCTTGAATCTCGCCATACAGGATTTAGCTCAAGGTATGGAATCACCAAAGTAGCATTCAGAATCTTTGCAACAGCAACTGCATCACATATCTACACAAAATAATCAAACACTAAGATCATATGATACATCTTCAACACATACACATTAGGAAACTTTTGATCTAACTGAAAGGCTTTAAATACCTACCCCCATTCTTTGTTGGTTCAAACCACCATCAAGAAAGACCTGGATATATCCCTCGGACTTCTCTGGTAATGCTGCTTTAATTCAATTGTCAGTCACGGAAAGATCAAATGAACCCATAGATATACCAAAATGTCACATGTTCTCAAAGATAGAATAGAATAGCATAAAAAGTAAATGATATTAATGCCCCTTACATGGCTTATTTTCAACATAAGGTTTCCATCCTTGGCTTTCCAGAGGTGACCATATTTCAGAAAGCTGTGATGTAGGCTAAACAAGGAGAATAAAATAAAAATAATATAAAATGAACATCCACCCATAAACACAAGCCAATAAAAGTCACATGAAATGTATTCACTGCTCAATTAATTCTTACAGTTTCACGTTGCACGGCACTCCTGAGAAGACGTGAGTGCCTAGGTTTTACATGATTCAATTCCTGCATAAAGTTAGTTGCAAGTTATAAGGCACAAGAAGCCAATAAACTAAAATATAATGACAAGTGCATGCAGGTAACAAATAAAATCTAGGAACTAGGCGCCATGAACGTCCTAGTGGCACAACAAATCATGGATCATATGAATAAAGGGACTCTCACAAGGCTAGTAATAAACCTGCCCATGAGAATAAAATGCAATAAATCGACCCTAATAACAACTTCATTGTGAAAAAAACTTTCCTAAAGCCAAAATACATGTTAAGTCACTCACAAGGCCCAACCGAGCATTATGACATTTAATTAGTGGTGGATGAAAACCAGTAAAGCCTTCCATTACACATGGTGACGGTAAGCAAAATTTTATATTTTTCACTCAAATAATAATTTACTTTTTATATTTATTTTGGATTCCCCAAATTTCTAACAAGTAAATACAAAAAAAATCCTCACTCGGCGACCCAAAATGAAAAAAATACAGTAAAAAATAAAAAAAGCGGTCCCGAAACCTGCGATCTACATTTAATAGCCTCTTAATTAGGTCCATAAAGTTTAACCAACCAAACAAAGTCAATTGAATCCATTAGCTAGCGCATTGAACCTTCTCCCTTCTAATTCATTTCAACCTGCCAAACCGTCCACCGAAGAAGAAAATCTCAACGCCAGCAGCTTCAATTTTTTTTTTCTTATCTCTTCTTATACACCAAAAATCAAACCTCAACACAAGAGTTTCTTAACCACTACCCAAAAGAAAAAAAAGCATAAATAAGTTATCAAACTCCAATTTCTAAAATAAACCTCAGCGTGCAACTCAGAAGCACAACTTAAAATCAGCAAATAACTAAAATTAAGAAAAAATACACCAACATCTTCCACATGAACAGTGATTAAAACACAGATGAAGAAAGTTCAAGGGAGATAAAAAATAAAAGAAGTAAGCATTACTGAAAAAGAAGAAAGTAGCCAGGAAAAAAAACATTCCTGTTCCACCAAAATTAGAAACGGGAAAAACAAAACTTTTCAAGACCCCCAAAAAATAAATAATGCAAAGAAAAAAAAAAAAAAAACTTAACTTACCGGGTACGCAGCAGAAGAGAAGGCATGCGTGAAAGTAGAGAAGAAAAGTAGTGCAAATGAAAGAGTAACAAGTGTTGCTCCTCCACAAGGATGAGCTTGCTCCATCATGGGAGCTGAAGGTGGGATCTGGAAAGCGAGACTCAGAAGTGGGAGTATGAATGAATGAAAACTAATGCAGAAGAAGAGGAAGAGGAAGAAGGAGAATAAAAGAGAAGAGAGTAAACCCCATGTTCATAATGATGGTATTATATATAGATAAATATTGTTTGGAGGGTTGTGAAGTGCAGATATGTGTGTGCTTGAAAGGAAAAGAGAGAGAGAGAGAGAGAGAGTAAAGGGGTTCACATGGACACCTGGCCTGGTTCACCGAATTGAATAATGATGAGGGGTGGCGTCTTTTTCAAGGGGACCCCAATAGATAAAGGGAACAAAGTTGGGATTTTTACGTTAACAAAGGTGAGGATCACGAAGGAGAGTCACAGGTGTTGAATGCTGATGCAGTGAGTGGTAGATGAGACCGTTGTTCTTGTTCAATGCCTTTCTCTTTTTTCTTTTCTTTTTTGTTTTTTATGTGACCACCGACAATCTCAAAGGTAAATTAACATAAACATGGTTGTTGGATCCTCTTACCTCTATCTTTCTACCTTCACCAACGGAGGGAGAATCTACCTTTTACTCCCACTAATCACTCAAAATAATACTAGCCAAATTGGTTTCTGTTCCTTTTTCCCCTGTAAAAATTCTTTATAAAAATAATCCACCATTTTTTTCGTTTCTTAAAAGTGGAAAAGCATCTCTAATCAGTGAGCCGATAATACTAATTTTATGTGATTTTTTTCATTATCAAATAGAGTTTCCAGAGTGAACATAGAACTAATCTCTTCAACAAATTTTGAATGTATTAAATAGGCAAATGTTTTTTCTTAATTTCAATTTTAAGAGTCAGAATTTCTTTTTTTTTTATCCCTGTAATATCCACCACCGATAACAGTGACTAATCTCCTCGCTACGTGAGATAGCTAGCCTCAAGATTTAACACGGCTGCATATACAAGATAGGATTCGAATCCTTGACCTTGTTTAAGTGTAGATCAATCCCTACCACTAAACTACACGCTTAGAGTTATATTTTAATTCACTAAAATTAGTCAGAATTTAAACATTAATTACTATTTAATTTTATTTCGAGATTCGAAAAGATGTATGAAAACTTAAATTCAATTTTTATTTTTTTTAAAAAGTTAAGTAGCCTAAGAGTCAAGATTTTTCTTAAATATGAGGGATGGAATTTTTTTTAAGTGAAAAAATTATTATAAACTTAAATATTTGCATATTGACTTTAACTCTTGATTATTAAATTAATATTATTTTTATTTTCAAAAAATATTATTTATCAAATATAAAAAAAAAATTTAAAATTTAACAAATATCAAATAAATAACCATCCTCTTCATTTGAGTTAGTTTGAGAATTAGAATTTAATTTTTTATGGATGATATATTTTTAATAAAATATATGATAATAAATAAATTAATATGTAATAATATATTTTTAAAATTAAAAAAAAAACTGCAATAAAACATAAGGCTCATACTTTAATTATAAATAAAAATAAAATAAAAAAAAATAATATATTGTGCTTGTTATTCCATATATTCTATTGTCAGAATCGTATACCCTAAATAACAATAGAATATATGCTTTGTTTTCTAAAATAAATTATTCTTACACTGTTTTGGTTATTGCTGGTTGATTTTTATTTTCTTTTCATTTTAGCATTACTATGTTTTGAATCCAGACACTTGATTTCCTCTTATATGCTACTTTAGTTATGAGTTTCTTAATTCAATTAATAGCATGTCCAGATACACGTTGTTAATAGTAAAAATCAATAACGTGTAAACTATACCGAATAGCTTCTTAACCGACGCTAAAATAAAACAACTTCACAACGCGATATCAATTATGCATGTTTGAATGAACGTTTTAAGTAAGAATCGCATTAATTTTAATGAAAAAATCAACTAATAATTATTTTTTTAATTCTCGTACGAGATGTATTACTAAACACACTATTTCTTAGACATGTTATTGTGTTGGTAATTATCTAATAAATTAACTAACAAAACATACCATATTTTACGTTATACACATATTCCATCATTTTTTTTTATGTTATTTTAATTAACTATGTGATTCCGTGGTGTCTGTTTATATGAATTTAGAAACGCCATTGTTTATATAAATTTAGAAACACAGTGCCCTTGGAAATTAAGTTCATTTTTCTCTCTTTCAAGAAATTTGAGGTGGTTTTGAATTTTTAGTTTTTACATGTAATTTTAAAAATGAAATACCCTTGGATAAAATGAAATTGAAATGACTTTTAACTTAATTTTGCATCATAAGTATTAATTTTGACTAGCTTAACATCTCCATAATTTATGAAGTGCTATTAAATGATCTAATTAACGAAGAAATTAATGAAGTAGATATATTTTAGCAGAGTAAATTGAAATTTTTTTGAGCTAAAGAAATTAAATTGGAACTAAAAAATAAAAATAAAGAATCAAAGTTATATTTTAATCAAACAACTATTACTTGTGCAAAATAACAAGTCATATAATTATGATTATTATAATGTAAAAAATTTGCTTCCCTTGAATACATTTTAAATCTTGAAATAAAATATCATACCTTTTCAATGATTTATCAAATTATCATTTTTTCAATATATACAACATATTAAAGTTAAAATATATTATGACTAAATAAATTTAAAATAATTTTGTTGATGTGCGAGTCTAAATTTATGAATGTATTTAGTGTAAAACTAGATTATAAGATAGGTAGCTGAATATTTATCTTATCTAGTTTTCCTTTTAAGAACATAAATTAATTATACGAGAAGATTTGAGTTTAACTTTAATGCACTAATGTAAAAAATATATATATATATTGTCAAATGGCAACTAATTTAAAATTTTCTTAATGTAAATTCTAAAGCAATTGTTGTAAAAATTAATTATATTACTTTACATGATAATCTATCAAATTCTACTTAGATCTAATGGATTACCTATCATAAAAGTAAAAAAAATTAAAATTATGTATTACATTAAAAAAATAAATTCTAATTAATTACTAGTATACCATTACATCAACCTTAGTATTAATTAATGCTAACAAATCGTTTTCTCCCAAGTTTAGCAATTACTCGTCATATTTTTTATCGGATGTGGACACGAGAAAGACTGGAGGTGGACAAGAAAAGAAATACAACTACAATAAACAGAACTTTCTACATTTTTCATTGGATGATTTGGGTCCACACAACACTAACAATTCAGAGTACAAAAATATACGAAAAATATGTGATTCGAAAAATCCAATGCATATATTTTCTTTTTATTTCTTTTGCAATTTGACCGTATTCCATACGGTCACCGAAATTATCTTTATTGGAACACAATAAAATAATAATAATAATACATACATACATACATGTCGGCGTGATGTACAACAAGCAAAGAATTAGCAAAGAATTCTTGGAATTCCAAAATAAAATTCTCAAATAATTAAATCCTAATGAAAATTTCAATTATATAAAATATAAATTTCTAATAAAAATAACTTGTTGAGAATGTAATCTCTAAGAAAAAGGAAAATTACCGAAACAAAGAAAAATGATAATAGTAAATGGTTACGATAAACTAATTACTACATCCTTAATTATTTGCCTCTCCCTTTGTTTTCTTGGACCACAGTTGCATTCATGAGCTTTATTAGATATATCTTTTGAGCGTTAATACATGATGTTGATGTGTCCAGTAACAGCATGCGAAAATTGGAAAATAAAATTATCAAATTAATAAATAGGATTTGAATTTACTCGTCCATAAAAGATGATTAAAAATCAAATTTGCATCATCTCATATATAACTTGATACTGGCTTGTCGAGAAGGACTTGATATTTATAATGACATGTATCAAGACATTAGCTGACCCTAACCCTATAAACCCAATTAACTTGACCTCATAGAGTATCTCGGCATGAAGTAGATTTGAATCTCAAATTTGACACCAAATCTTATTTTTATCGGTCAAATATCACAAACTCAAATAATAAATAATTATTTTATCAAATTTTAAAGTTTTTAGAGTCATAATTCATAAATAATCAATTATAAATACTGTAATCCTATAATAAGGATGAATAAATTATACTTTTGAATATTTTAACCAGGTTATTAGACTTAAAATGCAGGCACAGGTACACTGAAGTCCACAAATATTGTCAACGCATGCAGTGAATTGTATAGAGTGTTCATAAGTTGGCACATTTAAGGCTCCATAGTTTATGGCTAGCTGGAGTAAAAGCAAATCAGATCTGCTTTGATCAGTTAGTTGACAGTTGCCTGATGAGGATTCTGCATGCAATACTATATACTTATACTAATTATTAACATCATAGTCAACATCTTAGTCATTATTTTTCATAACAACTTCATTTATAAATTCAACATATATATTACATGTATGTATGCGTTTATATATACTGTTAAAACTCAATTGCTTTTTAATACTTCCTCACATAATTAAAGATCGATCTGGATTTTAAATTTTATCTAGATATGTTATTATGAGATATTTTTGGTTGTTTAAGTTATCTTTTGTTTCAGATTACCAAAATAAAAGGAGATATTTTAAGTTACTTACTAATCATAAGGTGAATTTTGTAAAATTATTATTCTTTTACATTTATTTATTATTATTTAATAAGTTTCTTTTTACAAATTATTTTTTTAAGTCAAATTTTGTTTCTATTTATTTATCTTTTCAAAATTTTAAAATAACATTAATTATTGTGTTATTAATATATTCTTAATTTTTCACTTAACTTTTAATTAATTTATATATGATAATTAATATGTATTTATTATAAAAAATAAAAATGAAAAAAATGTATAATAGATCAAAACATTAAAATTGTTTTATGAAAAATAGAAAAGTTTATTATATTTATTATTTTTTTGTAAAATAACCTTAAATAACTATTATAAAATAACAAAAATAATATTATTTTTTCTTGATTTGTATAAAACTATGTAAAATGATACTTATTATAGAATAGACAAAGTACTATGTAGATAATATACTATTACTCTCACATTTAGTATCACATATTATGTTGGTATTCTGTTTCCCATAATTACGTGTATTTTGTTTATCACATTACTAATTTAATATCATTTTTTAGTTTGAGCATTATAAATGTTTATTATATATAATTAAATTTTATAATGAATCATATATAAATAAATGTTATATTCAAAATTATAAATT